TCATTATATTCTTAGGACTATGAAATATATTGAAACTATTAAAAACTAAAAAAATTTTGATTAAAAAACTCTGCTAAGGAATCATAATCAAAGAACTATTTTCATAAAGATTGATCTGTGATAGTTATATCACAGATATATCTGTGCACATGGGGCTGCAAAAAATTCAAATAAGTTGGGATGTCTTTGATTCAACCAAGCCAACAGTTTGCTTTACTGAAGAATTTCTCAAAGTCATTAATATGCTAATAGAATCTGAACATTTATAAGAGGGATATGTATTATAAAGTAGTTCCAAAATTCTTTGATCATAGACCCTCCTCTTCTTGGACTCCTGGAACATGCTATGGGAGATTTTGCTTTCTTCTAACCACACAATATTAAAACTGGAAGAAGCCTTAAAGCACTCTAGTTTTATATCCTGATTTTCAAAGGAGAGGAACTAAAATTTAGAAGATTTAAATGACTTCCTGAAGTCCCACAGTGCATAGGAGGTAAAGGAAGATCTAGAATGTATATCCTCAGATTCTTGATCTTGTGCTCTTTGAAGCTGGTCAAAAAACAGATGAAGACGCAAGATACAAGGTCCTGAAACGTGTCTGCTTATACACTTCCGGGCATGCGGTGTGTCCTTTATCCGTAGGAATAATGAGATGCAAAATTCTTTCCTGGGGACCTAAAATTCCCCTTCCGACAGCTCATCAGGTCCTTCCTCTGAAAACTGATTATGTGTCAGTTCTCCCTGGAGGGTTCACATGTCTAGGATTATTCATTATAAATTCAACATGTGGGGCCTACTTCATTCTTGCATAAATATCTCATCATATTGCCCTATCTGGCAAAAGTTAGATAGAGAATCTCCCCACCCAACCTCATGTTCTAAGTTACTGAGACTGTGACAAAAGGCAATTTTATATGGGCAATCTCACACTCCAGGAGCAGAACTTAGAGAGGGATTGAAATTTAGAAAGGTCACCACCTTCCTGGCAGGCGTTGGGGGTATGTGTGTCAGAACCACATTAAACTCTCACTTTAACTTTGAAGAAAATAATAGCAAGTGTCTCTCCACATTTAATTACTTTATTATTAGTTAGTATACTATTATACTAATGAGAAATTTAAGATAGCTTGAATGTTCAAGAGTAGGGGATTGATTCACTGAGTCAGGGCACGTCTATGAAATACTACTTAGACACCCAGTACAGTTATGCTGTAGAGAGATGTCTGAAACAGAGACTAAGCAAATATGTCAGATGATGGGATACTGGGGACATGAACACTCATGGCAGTTAGTCAGGATCTGACGTGGCCAGACTCCACAGCCCAAATGTCTCCAACTGCCGGAAGCCTTTTTTTTACTCAAGTAGACCATAAAATTATTGGTTTTTTTAATGGATGTCATGACGCAATGTTCAGAAGGCTGGCCTAAAACATAGTGCCTGAAAAAATAGACTATGAAGTATTATTACATTGAGATTTGAGATACATGGAATTGTCTGCTAGGAACTATACACAGGCTGCATCTGGATGGTAGGAATGCAAGAGATTTTGACTTTCATGTTCTGGTTCAAATGTATTTTTTGATGAAAAGTGTTCTTTAATAGAAATAATAGGGTAAGAGTTTCAATACTTATGTAGCTCATAATTTGCTTTATCTTGTTTTACCCTCAAACTTAAGGAGTATTCATTGTTATTATTATTTTCATTATATAATACTGTATTTAAATTTTAGGTTAGAAGCTAATAGGAACTGAAAGTATTGATGAAGGCAGGAAGGAAGAGGTGGAAATTAAATGCCTCTGAAAGGTTGAAATAAGAGAACATGATATCTTATAATCTCTTGATGCTAACTACATACCCAAGACATTCAGGTTATAGTAGCTGTGACCAAAAAAGAATTATGGAGACATAAGGTTTTATAAAGATTTTAAGGGCAGCTGAGAGGAATGGCTAGTTTCCAGGAAGAAGCTGGGTTTGGCTGTTCACTTGTGTATGTCGAGGAGATGACACAGCATTGGTGGAAGGTCCAACTTGTTATTGGAGCTCAAATGAGGAGAGAACCTAAAGGTGTAGTCAGAATAGTCCTCTATGGAGACACACGTGGAGCTGTGCAGGTGAATTGATTGTTCTGGGGAGAGAATATGGAGAGAAAAGCAAGACACCAAGAAGCTTAACCTTTTGGTATGTTACCATAGAATTCCCATTGACTTGACTTTGTGTGTGGACAGTGGGGTGGCTATAGCATATGTATCCTAAAATAGTTGTAATCCTGGAGAACAAACTAGAGAGCAAAAGGTGGTAGACTCCAAACACAAAGAAAAGATAAGAAATTGGAAAGGCTAGTTACCTGGTATGGTCAGTTAACACTGTGTATATGTGTTGAAATATTACACTATACACCATAAAAATAGGTAGGTATTATGTGTTAAACATTTTGGGTCTGGCACTGTTGTATAGAGGGTTAAACTGTGATGCGATGTCAGCATCCCGTATAAGCGTCAGTTTGACTCCTGACCGCTGCCCTTCTGATTCAGCTCTCTGCTAGTGTACTTGGGAAAGCAGTGGAAGATGGCCTTAGTGATTGGGCCCATGTCACTCATATGGTAGAGCTGGGTGGAGCTCCTGGCTCCTGGCTGTAGCCTGGCCCAGTGCTGGCCATTGCAGCCAGCTGGGGAGTGAACCAGCAGACGGAAGTTCGATCTTTCTCTCTCTCTCTCTCTCTCTCTCTCTCTCTCTCTCTCTCGTCATCCCTCTCTGTCTCTTTCTCTTCTCTCTCTGTAACTTAGCCTATCAAATAAATAAATAAAGCTTTTTAAAAACATTTTTAAATAGAATAATGAAAAAAAAAAGAATAGTGCCAGCTCTGTGGCTTAGAAAGTTAAGGCTCTGCCTGCAGTGCCAGCATCCATTATGGGTAGTGATTCGAGTCCCAGATGCTCCACTTCTGATCCAGCTCCCTGCAACTGAGCCTGGGAAAGTAGCAGAAGATGGTCCAGGTACTTGAGCTTCTGTACCCATGTAGGTGACCTGGAAGAAGCTCCTGGATCCTGGTGTTGACCTGGCTCAGTCCCAGCTAATGTGGCCATTTGAGGAATGAACCAGTGGATGAAAGATCTATCAAACCCTCTCTCTCTCTCTCCCCTTCTCTGTATCTCTGCCTTTCAAATAAATAAATCTTAAATTAAAAAAAGAGAATAGAATTCCAAGAGTTATTGTGAATGCATAGATATTGACAATGGATAACATGTTCAGTTAGTTCTTTTGCTCGTCTTTACATGAGAGATGACTTGGCTTAAAAAAGTTAAAGAGGTCAGCATTGTGGCACAGTAGGTTAAGGCACTGTCTGCATTGCTGACATCCCATATGGGCCCCAGTTCTAGTCCTGGCTGCTCCACTTCAGATCTAGCTCCTGGCTAATGTTCCTGGGAAAGCAGTGGCAGATGGCCAAAGTGGAAGACCCGGGTGGAGATCCTGTCTCCTGGCTTTGGCCTGGCCCAGCCCTGGGCATTGAGGCCATTTGGGAAGTGAACCAGTAGGTGGAAAATCTCCATCCCTCCTTTCTCTCTGTAACTTTGCCTTTCAAATAAGTAAATAAATCTTTAGAAAAAAAAAGTTCAGCAGCAGGCTAGAAGGTGGGATTAGAAGCCATTTGAGGAAGTGGTCAGAAATGGAGAAGGTACAACTGAATCATGACAAACACACAGACCATTGCGATGAGAATGAGGAAAGCAAGATGCAAATAGGAGGGCCTTTGATACAATGAGCAAAGACCCAAAAGTCTCAGAGAAGAACAGCTCAAAAAGGAATGTGTTGTATAAATTTATGCTGGTGCATAAAAGATGTCTGTTAGGAAATATGTTTCTCAGGCAGTAAAAATACATAAATGCAATAATATGATCACCTGGTCATATTTGTCATTACAAAGAAATATATTAGAGATGTAACAAATATTTTTCTCTTCAGGGTCCCTCTTTTAAGAAAGTTCAAAGTTATTCAGTAAAATTTAGGAGACATCAAAGAAAATGAATATGTAACTGTAAAAATATACTTCTAAAGGAAGGTTATGAAGATGGCATTATTTATTTTAAAAATCAAGAAGATAAGAGATAATAAGGATTATTAACTTGCGGAAGACTTCTGTGCAGAATTGTTTGATATATTTACTGCTGGTAGAGCAATGGTAAATAAGCTTAAACCATTAATAAAGAAGTCTCCCTGGGCTGGCGTTGTGGCACAGCGGTTAGGACAGCACTTGTGATGCTGCCATCCCGTATGGGTGGTGGTTTTTGTCCCAGCTGCTCTACTTCTGATCCATCTCCTGCCACCCACTTGGGAGAGGGATTGAAGCTCCTGGCATCTGACTTTGGCTTGTCTCAGCCCTGGCCATTGTGGACATCTGGGGAACGAATCAGCAGATGGAAGATTCTCTGTCTCTCTGTCTGTCTCTCTCTCTTTCTCCAACTCAGACTTTCAAATAAATAAATAAATCTTTTTTTTAAAAGGGAAGCCTCTCCAAATGTGTATATGTATCTGTATATACACATACTCAGACCACACAAACTTATACATCTAGAAGGATAATTCAGAAACTTCATGGAAAATGGAGCTAAAAGATAAGTTTACTGTGATGCAAAAAAATTTTAATTCATGAACAGATCTTTTTATAATATGCATTTTCTCTGATCTTTTGGAATTTTGTGTCTATGTTTGTGTAGGGTCTGGGTGAGCAAAATATGAAAACATTAATTCTAATTTCTTCTCTATGGCAGGATTTCAGGTATTCTTATTTGTTTCTTACCTGTATCTTCTTAATTATCTATGTTAAATATACAATATTTCTACCTTAACGAAAATAAGTTATTTTTCTTTGGAAGTCTTTCAGGAAAGCAATGTTACTTCTTTCTCCTTTCTATCACATTCTGAGACCCCAGTTTATGAAGCTAATTTTTCATAAGTTTCTGAATAACAACAGTTCTGCTACTCTATTTTATCTTTTTCAGATACTAGTGAAAAATAACCAGCTTTCAGACAAGATCATTGTTTTGCCAGGAAAAATGGAAGAAATCTCACTTCCCGAGGCCGTAGATGTGATTATTTCTGAACCAATGGGATACATGCTGTTCAACGAAAGGATGCTAGAGAGCTATCTTCATTCCAAAAAATGGCTAAAATCGAATGGTGAGTTGGCCAGTTCCTGGCTTATAAAATAGCCTGATTTTTCCATAAAAGCTTGCCATCCTCTTTCCCACTTTCAATTCTGTACAGAAAGGAGGGTTAAACCTTGCTCAGTTGTTTGGTTTTCTCATTTACTCTGCCATGACAAAGTATTCTGCAATCCTAAAATCCCAGATGTGCTGCATAGTAATCGGTATGTTATAGAAGACCACTTCAGTGTTACATGTTTTGCTCTAGTTCTATCATTTTCTTCCTTAATGAACTTGAGATACATTTGACCTTTTGGATTTGGTTTCCTCATCCATATGATATATCATTATGCACACACTCAAACTCCGTCAAGTGTTGACCTTCTGGAGTATGAAATTGTCTTTGCAGTCAGCTTGTTCTTTTTGACATCTTCTTTTCCTATTGTATTGCTATTCTTCCCTATGAGTACTAACGTAGTCAACATAATAATACAGTAGTTTTCTGTTTTCTGTGGTTTCATTCTGGGTTTGGTTACCCATGACCACCTCATTCCAAAAATAATAAATGGAAAACATTCAGAAATAAGCAATTCTTTTTTAAGGTTTTTTTTTAAGATTTATTTATTTGAAAGTCAGAGTTACACAGAAAAAGGAGAGGCAGAGAGAGAAGTCTTCCATCTGATGGTTCACTCCCCAATTGGCCACAACTGCCGGAACTGCGCCAATCCTAAGCCAGAAGCCAGGAGCTTCTTCCAGATCTCCCATGCAGGTGCAGGGGCCCAAGGACTTGGGCCATCTTCTGCTTTCCCAGGCCATAGCAGAGAGCTGGCTCGGAAGTGGAGCAGCTGGGACTAGAACTGGCGCCCATATTGGATGCTGGCGCTTCAGGCCAGGGCGTTAACCCACTGAGCCACAGCATTGGCCCCCAGAAATAAGTAATTCTTAAGTTTGAGATTGTGTGTTCTCATCCTGTTCCATCCTGCTCAGGATGTGAATCATCCCTTTGTCCAGAGTATACATGCAGTATATACTACCCACCATTTATCACGTAGTTGTTTTAGTTATCGGATTGACCAACACAATATTGCAGTGCTTGTGTGCAAGTAGCCCTTGGTTATGTACTAGCCTAACATGACAGCATCACATGGGCATCTTGTCTCATCATCACAAGATGAAGGGAGAGTAAAGAACAGTAAGTTAGTTTAAGAGAGAAAATGTTCACATAAATTTTATTGCAGTATATTGTTATAACTGCTCTATATTATTATTAGCCATTGTTAATCTCATACTGTGCCTAATGTATAAATTAACTTGATCATAGTTGTGCATATATAGGAAAAATCATAGTATATTGTGTTCAGTGATAGCCATAGTTTTTTTTTTAACTTTTATTTAATGAATATAAATTTCCAAAGTACGATTTATGGATTACAATGGCTTCCCCCTCATACCGTCCCTCCCACCCACAACCCTCCCCTTTCCCACTCCCTCTCCCCTTCCATTCACATCAAGATTCATTTTCGATTCTCTTTATATACAGAAGATCAGCTTAGTATACATTAAGTAAGGATTTCAACAGTTTGCTCCCACACAGAAACATAAAGTGAAAAATAATAGATGATTTTTTTAAAATGAGGATGAAATCAGATCAGACCTATTGTCATGTTTAATCCCAGTGAGAGTCAAGTTGGGAGTTGATAATTTCTTTTTTTTTTTTTTTACAGAGGATCAGTTTAGTATACATTTAGTAAAGATTTCAACAGTTTGCACCCCCATAGAAACACAAAGTGAAATATATTGTTTGAGTACTCGTTATAGCATTAAATCTCAATGCACAGCACATTAAGGACAGAGATCCTACATGAGGAGTAAGTGCACAGTGACTCCTGTTGTTGACTTTACCAATTGACACTCCTGTCTATGGCATCAGTAATCTCCCTGTGCTCCAGTCATGAGTTTCCAAGGCTATGGAAGCCCTCTGAGTTCTCCGACTCTTATCTTGTTTAGACAAGGTCATAGTCAAAGTGGAGGTTCTCTCCTCCCTTCAGAGAAAGGTACCTCCTTCTTTGAAGACCTGTTCTTTCCACTGGGATCTCACTCACAGAGATCTTTTGCCAGAGTGTCTTGGCTTTCCATGCCTGAAATACTCTCATGGGCTTTTCAGCCAGATCCGAAGATAGCCATAGTTTTAGGCATCCACTGGCAGTCTTAGAATATATCCTCCATAGATAAAAGCAGGTACTATAATTTCAGTATTCTTCTTGTGCTAAGTGATTAAATATGCTAAGCACTTTGAATATTAACAAAATCCTTGCAAAATCTGAATGACAGAGATTTTTCATTTAGTTGAGGGGTTAGTACTGAGGTTCTCAGTAATTTTACATACTTTCACAAGGGATATCTGGCACTGTGTAGAGAGCTTTGGTTGTCACTAGCACAGCAGGTGTTTGAGTACTGTCATCCAGTAAATGGTAGACCTGGATGCTGTTAAACATTCTTCAATGCACAGGACAGTCTCCTACATCAAACAGTTATTGAGCTTATGTGCACTTGAAACCTGAGTTAGCAGAAGGCACTCTTATGATCCCGGTTTTAAGAAATGAAATTTGAGACTCATTGTGAGAAAGCAATTTGGCAAGAATACACGACATAACAGGGATTTGGACCAGGGTCTGCCTGCACCCCCACCAACTTTCCACTCTTTACCAGATAGAGTGAACTTGGAATTATTTTTTCAGTTAAGCCATAGAATTCATCTGGCTAATTTTAAAAGTTGATTCTCTTATGAGAATGTTAGCTACTTTTTCCAAATATATTTGCTTTAAACTACCAATGTTGTAGCTCCTTACCTTGATATTCAGTGAAGAAGTAGTGAATGGTAGTGCAACTTCAGCAAACCAAGTTATACAGTATATGAAAATCAGCATAGTTTGAAGCTCATCTGTAATTTCTTAAACATTTCCAAATTTGTAAGCTCAGAAATAGGTACTGGTAAAAATAAATGTATAAGCTCAGGAGAAATACAAGGTGACTTCAAAAAGTTCATGGAAAAAATGGAATCCAAAAACAAGTTTATTTTGGTGCAAAAAATGTTGAAATGCCTGCATTATTAATTCATAAAACACATTTCCTAAGAACTTTGTGAGGATCCCTCATATATCTAAGATCAGAACTTCATTAGCAGTCCTGCTGTGAAAGCTCAGGAGTGTGCAAGTGTGTGGCTCAGTGGATTAAGCCACAACTTGTGATACCCCCATCCCAGTTGGAACTGTTGGTTTAAGTCCTACCTCCTCTGCTTCCTTCACATGCAGCTTCTAGCTCACATACATCCTGAGAGGAAGAGATGATGCTTGGGTTCCCACATGTGACACCCAAACGGTGAAGTCCCAGGCTCCTGGTTACTGCCTCGCCCAGCCCTGGCTGTTCCTGGCATTTGGGAAGTGAGCCAGGGAACAGAAGAGCTTGACCTATGTCTCTGTTCCTCTCTCATCCTGTCTTTCAAGACATAGAAATGTTTTTAAAAAAATTAAAAAAGAGCTAAGGAGGATCTTGGATGTCTTGTATTCAGATGATAAAATTGAGCTGTGGGAAATTAAAGGAGCAAAGCAGCTTGGATTTCTTAATGTCCCTAGGAAGAATGTCCTGAAAATTCTCTGAATTTTTCCAGATGATTAGGTATGATGAGATTGTAAGCACAGCTAATTAACACACATATGTTGGACCCCTCTTATGTAAAATATGTGGATATAATATCTGGGCGTTTGAAATAGACAAGAATATTCTACTGGGCTATGCATCTTTAAGTGGGCTTGTGGAAATGAATACTGAGTTTATTGGCCTTTTAACCTGCATGTTCCTGAGGGAAGGGTGATTGATTTTTTTCTAATTATTTTTAGCTTCCATCAAAATGAGATGTGGATTGAAACATGAAATAATAATAAAAAGGCTGATAATGAAAAAGAGTAGTACTTTGTTACACATTTTCCTGTCCTCAGACTTCTCCCCAAAGGCAACTACTTTCAACTCTGTTTGCTGTCTCTATTATTTGCCAACATATTTCTATATAAAACTATTCTATCAATATTCTCATCACCCTCTGCTTGAGAGGTTAGCTCCCCTACTTAGAAGTTCCTTCCCTCTTTGCTGTTGCTTCCCCAACCCCATCCTCTCCAGTCTTCAGTGCCTTATCCAAACCCTGGGGCCCAGGTGCATTTCAGAATTCAGAGTCTGTGGAACTTGAGAATTTGATAAGATCTTATACCATGTATTACAGAATGCATCAGGGACTCCAAAGCAACATTCCATAATGAAACACATTGTGTCTCTGCAACAGCACATATGAATATTGATACCAGGTGGAATACAGAAAGACTACAAACAGACTATGTCACTTCAAATCAGGTTTTGCCAGCCATTGATATTTCTACAGACTTACAAAAAGCAATTACTCAGGTCAGGCATTTGGCCTAGCAGTTAAGACATTAGTTAGCGTTCTGGCATCTCATATCAAAATATCAGATTTGGTACCCACTTCCAGTTACTCACTTCTTGCTAATGCAGATCTTCAGAGGCAGCAGTGATATCTCAAGTGATAGCATTTCTGTCATCCACATAGGGGTCCTGGATTGAGCTCCCCGACCCCTGGCTCCAGCCCTGACCCAGCACCAACCATCACATGCATTTAGGGAGTGAACCACAAATGGGAGCTCTGTCTCTCTGCCTCCCAAATAAAAAATGTTTTTAAAAATTCATTGTTTTTCAGAGCCTTAGAGATTCCAGGATGTAGAACAAGGGAATATAGTCCTTGGATTAATCAACAATCACTGTTTACACTGTCATGATATGTGACAGAAAGCAGGTACTGTTCAGTGCTGAGTTGGGTGCTACTGTCGCTATACCAGGATTATGTGTATTTTCTCATGTAATCTATGTTTGCCCTGATTTGTTCATTAGCTTAGTTTTCTTCATACTTGTGGGTAGATATTTCCATCTCCAGCAGCTCTGACAGATGTCAGTCTATTCATCCTGTGAATG